CTTTTCTATCTTACATTATAAATATAAATAATTATTTAAATCATGTATAAAAATAAATGCTAAACTAAAAAACTATTAAAAATATGTAAAATTAAATAAAGTTATTTTTTTATAAAACAATATTAATATAAATATTATTGTATAAAACTTTTTAAAATAAAAATATTCTTAATAATACAAAATCAAATAAAAAATATTTTCCATATCTTAAAACATTTTTTATATTTCTAAGATTTTCCATATCTTAAAACATTTTTTATATTTCTATTTTTTATTAATGTAATTAGCCTTGTGATATAATTAGAATAATTGGTCTTGTGATGTTGCCTACATAACAACATAAAATTTATGGATGTTAGTATGCATATCATATACCTCATGTAGTTAAGTGTGTATTTCTTTACTTTGCATGGTCAGTCATGTAGTGGTCAATACTTCAGGTAGCTGACAATCATTTTTCCTATATTTTACTCAAAGAAAAAGATAAGAAAATCTTTCCAAGATCATAATTTTAAATATATACATATATTATTAAATATCATTTTAAATAAAAAATCCTTATGTTATCTTAATTTTTATATATAACTAAATAAAAATTAAATATTAAATAAGTAAGCAAATAATAAATTTAAAAATTAAGAATATTTTATTCTTTAATATAGTTTTAAACAAACTGACACCTAAAATATTGCTAGATGCATACATAAAACGTAACACCTCGTTGAGCATGCAATATAACCAGATCTAGACTATTAAAGTATGATCCTATTGTTAAAATTTTGGATTCTACCCCTAGATTTTATCATATTTATAAGATAATACAACTATTTATTTTTAGAATCTTAATTAACGAAGCAATTTAATATTGAATTGGTACATAACAAGAGTATGATATGTGTATAATAATGTCATTAACTTGATTGACTTTATTTAACTTTCAAATTTTATTTCACTAATTTTTAATTTGAATCAGACTTGGTTTAAACTTTTAGGTATGAGTATTTTCTCTGGACTTAAGTATAAAGTTAAAAACAATTCACTTATGTACCATGATTACTAAAATACAAATATTAACAACAATTTATATGGGTAAACAAATTTTTAATTCTGAAACATCTCACACAACATATACAAAAATAATCCTAAAATATAAAATAATATATTATTTTATGTTGTTTTTAAAATTAAAATATCAAATAAAATATGTGTTGATTAAAATAAATATGTGTTGATTAAAATACAAATACTAACGGGAACTTTATGGGAAAACAAATTATTTATTTCTAAAATAAATCTCACACAACATATGCAAAACAAATACTCAAAGTATAACATGAATTCTTATTTTTATATATTTTATATATATCAAAACATCAAATAAAATCCGTGCAACGCACATGCCCATATCTAGTGTATTATAAATCTTGGAAAGCCTTGAGTGTGTTCAGGATGGGCTTCCTAATAATATATTAATCTTTAAGATATGATTTAAGGTTTAAGTTTTAGAGTTTAGGGTTTAGAGTTGATGTTTTAAGGTTTAAGGGTTTAGTATATTAATCATCAGGATAATGTATTCTAAGATTTTGAAAGCCTTGAGCGTGTCCAGGATGAGTTTCTGGATTGAAAATAATGTATTATAAAATTTGGAAAGCCATGAGCGTGTTCAGGATGGGCTTCCAGATAATATATTAATCTTCAGGATAGACTTTACAATTAGTTTTGCAATTGACCAATCTGTGTCAGAAATTTGACTTTCTACAGAAGACTTCCAAGTAAGTCTTCTGGCGAAAGACTTACCTAGAAGTCTTCTCAACCTTTCCATTAAGTCTACTATAGTCTGTGTAGGTTACTTTTGCAATTGAAAATTTAAACTAAAACGCTTAATTTAAATTGGGAGACTTCCGGGTAAGTCCTTTGGGTTGGAAGACTTACTTGGAAATCTTCCAAATAAGTCTTCTACGAGAACACTTACTTGAAAGTTTTCTAGATTTTTATTCCGTGATTTGGGTTAAACCTAAGGTAATCAAAGAAGACTTACTTATAACCTATGCAATTTTCAGTAAACTTAATATAAAGGTTGAGAAGACTTCTATGTAAGTCTTCCGGTAGAAGATTTACCTGCAAGTCTTCCGTAGAATGTCAAATTTCTGACACAGATTGGTCAATCTGTTTATCCGAGAAGACTTCTAAATAAATCTTCTCAGGTATTTTCGTGAAACTTTGTATTACAAAAGTAAGCTAATACAGTATTTACAAAGGAAGACTTCCAGAGAAGTCTGTACTATAGGAGACTTCTCTAAAAGTTTTTCTTTATAAATTTTCAATTGCAAAAATGACATAAACGAAAGACTTACCTAGAAGTCTTCTCCTGGAAGACTAGTTTTCTCTCCAGGAAGACTTCCAGATAAGTCTTCTACGATAATGTATCAACTTTCCTTTTCTTCAAGACTCACATATTTATATTTGTAGATTCACAGACTGGAAGCAAGGTGGGAGCATTGAATGAACAATCATGGAAAGGGTTGGGAAGATGAAG